TCAGTTTCCAGAGAACTCCCTTTCTGCTACATTGCCCAGGAGACAAAACTGCCTGCTCACACTCTTAACTTCTGCCTACCTTTCCCAAGTCCAGTGTGTTTGAGACAGTACTAAACTGTTGGCCTTACTTTTACCGCTCTCAATGTCTTTTTTTTAAAGGCTTTATTTCCAAAATATTTGTTAAACAACTTGTTTTTTGTATTGCTGAATTTAAACTCTTTATAAGTGGAACTGATGCGATGTGTGTGTTAGATAAGTGAGATTTTTAAAGGGTGGGTTAGTTGTCTATTTCAGTGACCCAATTTGCCTCTATTTGAACCAGTCCGTTCATTCCTAGAGAGCATCCACACTGCCTTAGTGCCTCGTGAAGCACTCTGTGAATTTAGAAACCGGAGTCCTTTCCCACAAGGAACTTAACTGTTACTTGCAAAACAAAACTGAAGCATGTAATGATGACACAGAAAAATAGACATTAAGTTACATGATTTACTTTGCTGAAGATTGTGAATCGCTCTTCTTTTGTTAACCCAAATCAATAGGTGTTAATTTCTGAAAGCTGACTTCTTTCACAAGTGCTTAGAAAGCATTAAGACAGTTACAGTGAGGTGCATTTATCTCTCTGAAGGCAGAGAGACTTTTCAGTTCAGACTATTCATTTAAGCTGGGTGGCTTTTCTTTTTCACATTGCTAAGCTTATATACCTAGTTTATGTTCTGACATCTGTTTCTTACTACCAGAATGAATAGTGTAAATTGAAATTTTCATTTCCTCACAAAATCGACTTCCATCTTCAACACTGTACTGAAACTACTTATATTTAGATCACAAATAACCTCCTTGTTGCCGAATCCAGTGGTTACATTTCAGTTAAACTATCTGTTTTGACACTATCATAATCCCTTATCTTTTTTTTTTTTAATTTTGTTGATTCCAGAAAGAGGGGAAGGGAGGAAGAAAGAGAAGGAGAGAAACATCGAGATGAGAGAGAAACATGGATTGGTTACCTCTTGCATGTCCCCTGAGCAGGGACTGAACCTGCAACCCAGGCATGTGCCCTGACCAGGAATCAAACCAGTGGTGACCTTTTGCTTTGCAGGACAATGCTCAGCCGAGCCACACTGGCCAGGGCTCTTGTCTTCTTGGTACCCTTCTTTCCTTAGTTGCTATGATGTTCATCTTTCCTCTTCCCCCCCCCGACCCCCACCCCCGGCTCTGTAATTGCTCCTTCTCAATCATTTTTCTAGACTCTTCTCCCTCTATTTTTAAAATACTGATATTCTCCAGTTTTTGTTCCCAGCCCCAATGTGTATCTTTTAGCATAGACTTATTTTCTTAGCTTCTAGCCTATATTAATCCACTTATTGGACATTTTTACAGACGTATGGTTGTACACCCTCCCCCCATATTCAGTCATTCATCTAGCCATATCTATTATGTGTCTAGGAGCAGTTCTTCAAACCATCCTGTCCTCCATAGTTCCACTATTGTTTCCAATACTACCAAAAGGTCCTTGTCCTAGACTCCACGCCTGAAATGTCCCACTCTGGTTTTCCTTCAGTTTTGTTGTTCTATATGAACTGAGGAGTCTGTAGGGCCAAGGAAATGTGACCTCACCCCACCTCCACCACCCTCTAGGTACACAAGACCCCAGAAATCCCTGCAGCAGTCCTTCCCAAATCTGTTCTTCCAAGAGTAGACTGCATCCCTCATATGTACTCCCTAGGCCCAAGGGACAGCTGTTTGGCAGGGGATGGGTGGAGTTGGACCTTCAAGTCCGTGAGCGTACACGTAAAGCCCCTGATGTTGTTGACCAAAGCCAGGGGTCAGAGGAGAACGAGGACATACAGAAACCTACACTGGTACTCTTGTCAGAGGTCCCACAAGCATTAGGGGGCAAGACTAATTTTTGACTTAATTTCTTTATATTCCTGGTACAGTGCTTCAACTATTTTTAGGGATTCTTAAGGGCAAGGGCTTTGCCTTTTTAACTTTATATTCCTATATACTTAGGCCAGCCACAACACCTACCCAATATACAGTGAATGCTCGGTACATGTTGGTTGAATGAGTTAAATAACGCAGCTTATATTGAACAATTTATAATTATTTATCTCCTTTATTGTCATTGTAAAGTTTATTGTAATGTTATATGATTTATTATGTCTTATGGCTAGCATTTTCCCAGAAAAACAGGCCTCTAATTTTGCATTGCCATTAAATGAGAAAGCCAGACTTCATATATAAAACTGAATTTTATTTTTAAATATGTTTTTACAAACAGTTTTATAAAATAGAGGTAGTTAATGGTAGGTGACAGAAAATAGGGTGAGGCAGACATAGAAATCCAGTTAATACAGGTTAGTGTTAAATCATGATTAGCGGGACAGCGTATGCTTATCACCAGTTATATTGGTCACTGCCAGGCCCTGAGGGACTCTGGGGTACAAGTGTGAGAAGGAGCAGGACCATGTTCTGGAAAACTTAGATATTGGTAAGACAGGACTGGGTTTCCCTGCCAGGCTTCCATGAATTCACAGGGCAAGCCCAAGATCCTGTAGGTCCAGTTTTCTTGCTGAGCTCATTTGTGAGGAGTGTATTTGTGTATGATGACTTTTAATACAAAAAGTACATACTTATTTAAGTTAGAGTAATGTTTAAGTACCAAACCAGCATGTTTTAATTCCTGAGATGATTTTTCATTATGATAATACATGTGTTCCAGGTTTACCACCAAAGTTCAGTGACCTCGGAGACAGAGAAATGCCCCTAGTATCTTACCTGCTTTGGTTTCTGCTTTAGCATGTATACCATGTTGTAGTGAGAAACATTCTGATCTGAGAATTGAGTAAACTGGACTTGAATGATCCTTACGTTATTGTAAGCTCCCAAGTTCTGACGCTTGGGTTTGCTATTTGAAAAATGGTCTATTTGTGATTCTGCAGAGGGGGTACCAAAATGTTAAGCCATGGCAATAATTTGAGTTTTAAACTAAACTGTCAGGATTCATATTGTTCCGTCCTGTTTTTGTTTGGTTTTGTCTTTTTTGATAGATTGTTTCTTCCATGTTCTCCTTCTACTCTTAACATTCTTAGGTGTAATAAATATACTCATTCCAGTCCTTCTCTTTCTAGATGAGATGAGTCTTTCAGGAATACGTCATTAAAGCATTACACATCAAAGCAGTTACCTTTGTGGGCCCTCATGTGCTGTCTGCTTGTTGCGGCATCACAAGTCATGATTAAGAGAGTCATAATTAAAACCACTTAATGACACTGTTTCAAGAATATTTCTGTGATGAAGTTGCTGTGTGGCAGCTGGGGATTCAATGGCTTTTGGAGGAGGTACTCAGTTTATAAACACTTTAAATTGTTTTTTGTCATCTAGAAAATAGTTCTTACACAAGAATATTTTCAAATGTCTTAAGTTGTCTTAATTTAGTAATGACACTTGGAGCTGTTTTGCCTTTAAATTTTTTCAACATTTACAAAGATGTGAGCAGACTTAATTAGCATACTTTACTTCTCACTCACTTTGCTTCTACATTAGGGCCCTACCTCTCTCTCCTAGGCTTGTTTATTCCTTCTGCATTCAAAAATCTTTAAATAAGTAGCTTAAGGTGGCAATTGTTTAAAAAGATGATTTAATACCCACATGGTGATTAAAAAGCAAAATGAACAAAAAAAGTAATTATCATGTATGTCATGTATACTGTCCCTGCCCTTCCCTTTACCTGTAAGGCAGAAGAGGGGGATTCACCTCCCTTTCCTGTCTGTGATTTTTGAACTTCTGGCTTGTTTTCTTCTTCAAAGCTACTCATGAATGTGAATGTATATGTTGGGGGTGGAGAGGGAAATGTGGGGAAAGCATTTGGTCAGCAAGGAACAGGATAAAGCACTGAACAGAGTATTGAGAAAAGATGGGCAAGAGAACAAATGGAATGACAACAAGAAACTACTCTTCACCAACCCTTACAATTAATGCCAGTCGGAGACCTATAACCAGAAGGGACCTGATAATCCGGTGATTACTGTACCTTTACCTAATGAATGCTTAGTACACACTTACGCAACTTAATCTCATTTTATGGGAGAAGAAATGGAATCCCACAATGGAACCCAGTGTCATTCAACTAGTTAGTTGCAGACCAGGTCATCTGATTCCTCCACCAATTCCTTTTCTATTAGAGGTACCATAATAACCTTTTTCCTCCTTCCTTCTTTCCTTCCTCCCTCCCTTCCTTCATTCATTTGTTTGTTTGTTTGTTTATTGTAGGCATGAGATGTGGAGCTCGACTGTATTATTTGTAGGGCTGGTGGCACTTAACTAGGTCTCTTTATGAGAATGGATTTTGGAGCCAGACTAAATCTTAGCTTTGCCTGTTAGCACTTGGGCAAGTTTCTTATTCTTTCTAGGAGAAGCTCTCACATCTCTGTAAATAGGGACAATGATCACTTCCACATACAGTTGTGAAAACAAATGAAACAAGGTTATTTGGAAGTATTTAGTTTGGTATGTTGCACAGATTATAGACTTAAGTAAATATTTGTGAAATGAATAAGGGGTAACTATTACTGTAGTTAATCTCCCTCAGAGAGAGTCAACTTTTTTTTTTAATGGTAACTATTCTGTTAGAGGAAACACTTTTTTTTTTTTTTTGGTAAAGATTTTATTTATTTAGTTTTAGAGAGAGGGGAAGGGAGGGAGAAAGAAAGGGAGAGAAATATCAGTGTGTGGTTGCCTCTCATGCGCCCCCCACTGGGGACTTGGCCTCAATGTAGGCATGCACCCTAACTGGGAATCGAACCCGCAACCCTTTGGTTCACAGGCCGGCACTCAGTCCACTGAGCCACACCAGCCAGTGCAAGAGTCAACATTCTTTACCCTTCAGGTGTGGGATATGTTTTCTTATTGCCCTAGTTTACTGCTGTTTGGCCACTATCTTTTTATCTAGAAAACACCTGCTTCACCTCCTCATAGCCTTTTAATTTGTTTAATTCCAGATTAATCCATGGAGGACAGCTTTTGAATGGACTGGCAGGTCCAACCGTAATGAATGCAGCTCCATTCCTCTCCACAACATGGTTTTCTGCAGATGAACGGGCCACTGCCACAGCTATTGCATCAATGCTCAGTTATCTCGGTGGAGCATGTGCATTTTTAGTTGGACCACTTCTTGTTCCAGCCCCCAATGGGACGTCGCCTCTTCTTGCTTCAGAGAATAGCAGAGCCCACATTCAAGATCGTATAGAGACTGTATTATATGCAGGTATTTTGAAGTTTATTTTCTTCCTATAATGTTTTGTTTCTATCCCAGTCATCTTCTCTCTGCTTTTATATACCAGATCACTTCTTATGAAATACTTAAAAGGACTAATGTATACATGTGTATGTACGTGCTTTCTTTGTTATATAATATGGAGATGCCTATTTGAAGCTTACCCTTTCTGGGAAGTTACTAAGTTTCAAATGTATTATTGCTACCTGGAAGGTTATTTCTTAACTTTACTTTTCCCATCCATTTACAGTTAAGCTCTGTGTAACATATTGTCTAATGTCTGCACATTCTAGACATCTTATCAGTATATAAAACTAAAGAGCATGATCAACGATAAACATTAGTTAAGCATCTATTGGTAGGTGTTAAAACACTTTCTCCCTTGCAATTTCCCCTTTATTGGCCATATTCTCTTATCTAATAAATCCAGGTCACCCACAGTTTATTCTCTTCATTTCCTACTCTTTGTATGTTTAGTCTATTAATAAGAGGTAATGACCTTTCCAAAACATTCTCTTTGATCCTTTCTCTTTATTTCTAGAGCCAAGCCGTAGTCCACTCTTACATTACAGTCTCCTACAGATCTCCTTAAATATATTCCTCTTCCCCATATACCTGTTTATTATTTCTTTCTGCATTCAGAAAACTTTTTATGTGTTTATAATATACCAAGCACTTTGGTAAGTAAACACTAGAAATTGGTAAGATCACTGAAGAGAGAATTGTAATACAGATAGACATAGACAGAGCTTGGAAGGCAGCCTGAGTTTGGAGAGAATTTGCAGAGTCAGGGAAGGTTTCACCAGCATTGTGATACATAAAAATAAGAATTTCATAGGAGTTCACCAAATGTTTAAGTGAGTTAGGGTGTTGTGTATAGAAGGAATAGCAACCACAAAGACAGAGAAACTGAGGAGATCTCAATATGTCTAGGGATCTGCATGTAATTTGATAGGGCTATGTTAGTATAAATACGTGAGTTTGGGTGTAGGTGGCAAGTGGCATAAAATAAGGCTGGAAAGATAAGGAACCAGATTATAATAAACTTTGTATTAATTTATTTATTCATTTATTAATTTAACATATATTTTGAGCTTCTGTGTATCTGTCACTGTGCTAGGCACTGAGGTAAACAGGGTTTCTGTCCTCATAGAACTTACAGTGTCCCAAAGGATACAAACAGGTAAACACACAAAGTACTATAGCCTAAGTCCTACAGTTGCTCTAAGAGCTCAGAGGTGGAGCACCTAACCCAGATTTTGGAGATCAAGTAGAGTTTGCTAGAGATAGAGCGTCTAAGCTGGAACCTAAGAGATGGCAGAGTTAGCCAAGTACCCATGGTTAGGAGGAAGAATGTAATAGGGAGAGAGAGCCATGGAGGAGAATCCCAGTGAGGGGAGAGAACCTGCTGCTCTGAAGCAGTTTAGAACCCAGAGTGGCTTAGATCTGGTGAGAGTAGTGATAAACGAAGCTAGAGAAGTAAGCCAGGCCATGTAAGCCTTCTAAACAGAGCTGAAGGGTTTGAAATTTACCACATTGTGGGCAGTGGCCATACTCTGAAGAATTTTACACTAGTGAGTTACATGATGGGATTTATATTTCAAAATATGGTTTGGAGGGAATGAAAGTGAAAAGTAGTGGCAGTATGTAAAGCATTTATCCCTCCTTTAGACAGACACCTTACTCCTCTGAAAGAAAAATACACTGAAATGTAAAAGTAAATAAGTTAATAAAACTTAAAGCAGGTAAAACAAATTTTAAATTTTATTTTAGTTATATCATTCTTTTTATTGAAAACTTAAACAGTGATCGTGTCTTCCAATGACTGGATATTAGGCACTTTTTGATATAGCAGATAACCCTACTCAAAGCTTCCCAGTTATTTCTTCATTGCTTTTATATTTGCTGATCAACATCCCTGAAATGTTGTCCCATAAACCTTTCTTCCATTAAAAATATTTGCCAGAACTCTTACGTTAAATCACTTATGACTCTTAAACTAAATTATTCCAGACAAAGGCATCATAAGTAAACTACAGACCAATAGACCAGTATCTCTTAGGAATATAGATCCATAGTCCTAAAAAAATACTAGCAAACCAAATCCAGCAACATATAAAAAGGATTATATACCACAACGAAATAGGATTTATTCTTCTAATGCAAGTTTGATTGAACATTCAAAACTCAGTTAATGTAATATGCCATATAAATAGAATAAAGGAGAAAAACCATGTGATCATCTTGATAGATGGGGAAAAAAAAAGCAGTTGACAAATCCCTTTTGAAGCAGTTGACAAAAACCCTTTGAAGATAAAAAAACATATCAGAAATAGAGACATGAGCTCCCTCAACCTCATAAAGGGCACATACGAAAAATCCACAAATAAGATCATAGTTATTGGTCAAAGACTGAATGCGTTCCCTCTAGTCCCCTGAGATCAGGAACAAGACGAGGATGTCCACTCTTCACCATGTCTCCTTAACATTGTGCTGGAGGTTCTAACCAGGATCACTAAGTAAGAAAATGAAATAAAACGCATTTTAGATTGGAAAGGAAGAAGTAAGGCTATCTCAGTTGAAAGTGGCATGATCTTGAATATGGAAAATTCTCTGTAATCCATTAAAAACATATTAGATCTAAAAAACAAGTTTAGGTCTTGACCGTGTGGTTCAGTTGGTGGGGCATTGTCCCACAAAGTAAAAGGTCACTCGTTCCATTTCCTCAGTCAGAGCACACGCCTGGATTGTGGAGTCGGTCCCTGGTTGGGGTGTGTACGAGAGGTAACTGATAGATGTTTCTCTCTCACATCAATGCTTCTCTCTCTCGCTTTCTCACTCCCTTCCCTTCTCCCTAAAAATAAATAAATAAACTCTTAAAAAATAAAAACAGGAACCTAATGAACAAAACAAACAAATGAGCAAAATAGAACCAGAGTCATAGAAACAAGGAACAGACTGACAGAGACCATAGGGGAGGAGGGACGGGGCAAAGGGGAGAAAGAAGGAGAAGGGACTAGTCAAGGAACATGTGTGGATGACCTATGGACATGGACAACAGGGTGAGGATTGACTGTGGGTGGAGCGGGCAAGGCATCGGAGAGCAATGGGGGGAAAACTGAGACAACTGTAATAGAACAACAGTAAAATAAAAAATAGGAAAAAACAAGTTCAGGAAGAATGAACAAGTTTATCCTAAAAACAATTTTTAGGATGCAAGGTTAATATATCAAAATCAGTTGTATTTATATACGTTACCAATGAATAATCCTAACATGAAATTAGGAAAACAATTTATAATAGCCTCAAGAAGAATAAAATATTTAGGAATAAGTTTAACAAAATAGGTGTAAAATTTGCACTCTGAAGACTATAAAACAGTGTTGAAAGAAGTTAAAGAAACCTAGAGAAATGGAAAGACATCGCATGTTTAAGTGATGGAAAAGTTAGTATTGTGAAGATGCTAATATCCCCAAATTTATCTACAAATTCAGAGCAATCCCAATTAATATTTGGTTGCCTTTGTTACAGAAATTGACAAACCAATTCTAAAATTTATGTAGAAATGCAAGGGGCCCAGAATCGCCAAAACAACCTTGAAAAATAACAAAGTTGGAAAACTCACACTTCACAATTTCAAAAGTTACTGCAAAGCTATACTAATCAAAACCACATTGTACTGGCATAAGGATAAATATATAAATCAATGGAACAGAACTGAGACTCAAAAAAAAAAACCCAACCATTTTATTTATAGTCATTTGACTTTTCACAAGGGTGCTAAGACAATTCAATGGAGGAAAGAATAGTCTTCTCAAAAAATAGTAGGAAATAACTGGCTATCCACATGCAAAAGAATTCATTCAAACCACTTCCTTACACCATACACAGATGAACTCAAAATGGATTGTAAACTTAAATGTGAAAGCTAACACTATAAACTCTTAGAAGAAAGCTTTGGAGTAAACCTTCTTGACTTTGCTTTAGGCAAAGCTTTTTCATAAAGAACACTAAAAGCACAAATGAAATAAAAATTTGTAAATTGGATTATATCAAAATTCAAACTTTTGTGCTTCAAAGAACACCATCAACAAAGTAAAAAGACCACAGAATGGGAGAAAATAGTTGCATACATATCTGACAAGGGACTTTTATCCAGAATATATTTTTTAAAACTTGCAATTCAATATCAGAAAGGCAGACAACCCAATTAAAAAATGGGCAAAGAACAGAACAGACATTTCTCCAAAGAAGATATACAAATGGCAAATAAGCACATGAAAAAAAATGCGTACTGTTATTAGTCATTAGGGAAATGCAAATGAAAACCATAATAGATAGACTTCACACCCAACAGGATAACTATAATCAATAAAATGGAAAATAAGTGTTGATGAGAAAGTGTAGAAATTATACAATGGAACCCTTATACATTGCTGATAGGGATATAAAATGCCACTTTGGAAACATTTTGGCATTTCTTCAAAATGTTAAACCTAATTGCCATATGACCCAGCAATTTCATTTCTAGGTGTATATCCAAGTGAGATGAAAGCACATCTATCTATGCAAGAATTTGCACATAAATGTTCATGGTAGCATTATTCATAATAGCCTAAAAGTAGAAACGATCTAAATGCCTAACCTTGGCCCCAGCCACCTGGATGGGCATCAACTGATGCTAAAAGTTTCCTCATGGGGAGTATTGGGCATCAAAAGCCTTGTGACAGTCCTGGCCTGATGGCCTATTTGGTTGGAGCATCATCTTGTACACCAAAAGGCTGGGAGTTCAATAACTGGTCAGGGCACATACCTAGGTTGTAGGTTCACTCCCCAGTTAGGGTGCTTATGGGAGGCAATCAATGTTTCTCTCTCTGTCTCTCATCCTTCCTCTCTCTCTCTCTAAAATCAACGAACATTTAACAAAATATTTTCTAAAAAAAGCCCATGATACACAGATGGGAAAACCAAGGCACTATATGTTTGTACAACTTGCCCAAGTCTTCTGCTCCCTCTCCTCAAAAGTGTTCAGAATGAATTTAACAATAGAAGGGAGGGAGGGAAGGAGGGAAGGAAGAACTGATCCTTGGGTTTTCTGGCCCTTTCCTTGTTTTCACTCTTCTCAGGGGCCGAGTTGTGCTGTGGATATTCTTTGTTCTGAGGAAAAGTCACTGTTTATTTTAGAACTAGGTTGAGTGATTCCCCCTTTCCTACTTGCTAGGAGCTCAGGTCCCACCCTCTCAGCTGAACTTCTGAAACTATTTTGCAAATGTCCTCCCAGTTCCCAGACATCTCTGTGCTCATTCAAGATTGGTCAGGCCCCAGGCAAGTCTTGGAACAGAACCTTGTGCTCAGGGGTAACGCCCCAGCCTGGGAAGAACTCACGCACCTTTGAAAAGGACCCTGAAGCAAACTACACATCTATCCGTCTGCTTCCACAGAAGGGATAATGTTGGTAGGGCCCTTGTTATTTTTCTACAGTATTTCTGCTAGTGTTCTAAGCCCAGCTTGTAAACTTGCTTACAATGACCCAAACCCTCCTGAGAGGCCACAGGAACAAATCATACTGGTACCAAAACCAAGGGAACTACATCTGATAGGCTTGCTCTGCAAATTGCTTGTATTTGACTTCTACCTGAAACCATTTTTTCCCTTCTGCCCTCTTCCTCTAAATAAACAACAATTAAGCTAACAACAGGAAGAATATGAAAAAAATGTGGTATATCCATTCAATGGACTATTACTTGGCAAAAAGAAGAATATGGATGAACCAAATTCATGGCTCCAACATGGATGAACCTTGAAAACATGCCAAGTGAAAGGAGCCAGTCACAGAAGACCACATATTATATGATTCCATTTATAAGAAATGTCTGTAATACTCAAATCCATAGATTCTTAAAGTAGATGAAAGGTAACCTCGGGCTGGGAGATTTGAACAGGGAATGGATAGAGTTTCTTTTGGGGATGAGGCAAAAGTTCTAAAATTAATTGGGTGATAATTGCACAATTGTGAATATACTAAAAACCACTGAATTGTGAACTTTAAATGTGCGAATTGTATGTTATATGAATTATATCTCAAGCTGTTTACAAAAATGCCAGTAGGAAGATGGGCAAAGACTATGAACAAGGCAACCACAGAAGAAATACAAAGGGCCAGTAGGCATATGGAAGATGCTCATTCATTGTTACTAACATAAAAGAACTGTAAGTGAAAACAATTCATTAACTTTTGTTGCTTCTCAGATTGACAAAGAAAAAAGACATTGTCTGTGGTTAAATGTCTTATAGGACATTGTGCCTTTTTAGCCCGAGTATTAGAGTTATCCTGCTGAAAGGTCCTTTGGAAATCACTTAATCCAATCCCTTTATTGGCCCCGAAAGAGTAAGTGATTCACTTAAGTTCCAAAGCTAATTGATAGCATAGGCATGTCTATACTACAAGACTTTCTGACTTTCGTACTAAATTAGGCACAGTTAACAAAAAGTGGGACTTCAAGGAGCCAGAACTCTGGAGGGAATAATTGGAGTACCTAGGAACATTCCTTTCTCTGATGCTGCCAAACTAAGATTGTTGGGATATTCATTTTAGTTCTGATTGTTTAATATTCTGCATTAGCTAGTCTTGTGTTAATAAGTTTTGTTCTCTGTCCCTTGGTTTCTTATTTTGTATGCTTTCCTGTTCTGTTCAAATTTCCCATAATAATCTGTAAATTAAGCCTGTCTACATCAGAATATCCTGAGGTTTATCAAACAGACCTTCTCCTGTCCTGTTCTTACCAATTTTCTCATGTTCTTTATTTATGTTTACTAGACAATCATTATAGATCTGTTGCAAAATCTCACAGTTGAGTACCATTGGTTTTTAATGTGTTTTCTCCATAGAGTAACATTTGTTCACTGCCTCGATCTTTTTGTCTATGCAGTGTACGATAATACCACCGTACTTCATGCTTGTAGTGTGACTTTCTACCAATGACCTGCCGAAATTTATATCTTTATATATTATCTTTATCACAAGACTGAGCTGTTTGTGGTTAGGTACTGTTTTGTTTATCTTCATATGCCTAGTGCTTAGTTGATGATCAATAAATATTTGTTAGTTAAATAATACTTGAAATATTGAACTTTTTATGTTGTCTGGTTAACATTTTCCTTCCCCCTCCCCCCTCCCCCCCCAGAATTTGGAGTTGTCTGCTTGCTGTTTTCTGCAACTCTAGTTTATTTCCCACCCCGGCCTCCTCTTCCTCCCAGTGTGGCTGCAGCCAGCCAGCGGCTGAGTTATCGGCGGAGCTTTTGCAGATTGTTAAGGTAAATATACCTAGAATCACTGAGTGGTTTTGACTAGCACCTTCAAAATAATTCCACATTTATTTAAGATAATTTAAAATAGTAATTTTTCAGCAACCTATTAATCAGATTGTAAATAATTGATGAAAAGCTGATTAAATACTTTAAAGGGACTTCCTATCAGAAATCTATCTTAAAAAATTACCCAAAATGAAAACCTGTATAGTTTTTGCCTTCTCTACATAGCACCTATATTATTATTTACTTACTATTTTAAAAATCAAATGTTTTATGAGGAACCATATCACATAATAGTACCTGTGAAATCATGGGTTTTATGTGTTTACTGTATTTTTCCTAGTATGTAAATCCTTTTTATTCATTCTATATTTCTTAATACATATTAAAATAAACAAATGCTAGGCGCTTAAGCCAAAGTGAATAAAAGAAATAATGTCTATATACCTCCAGTAGGATCATACTTTATTTTATTGGTATAATTTAAATGTAGTTAGATTAAATTCTGCCTTAAAAGGCTCAAATGCTGCAGTGCTGAAATCAGTTCTTTACTTTTATAGACCATCACCCGTGATTATGGTTTGCGGTTGAGCCGTTACAGCTTATCTTTTGAATTTTTCCCCCAGTTAGATGTGATAACTCTTGAGAGATTCATCACATCTCTAGATGTTACTCTGGAAATTTAGAGTAACTTGTCTAGTAGAATTAAAATTTGAGCCACATCATAGATAATTTAAAATTTTCTAGTAACTTCATTAAATATCTTGTTCTCCAGAATTTAGACACATCAGACTGTTCTTTAGAGTGGAGGAATGTGATTGTATAACAAAACTGACTTATAGGTTCAGAGTTTCAGTTTCAGGTAAAAACAGGTAAAAATGAATTTAAGTAGCATATTTTATTTGGCCTGTTATATCTAAAATATTATTTTAAAATGTAATCCGTATTCAAAATTATTATGAGATATTTTACATTCTTTTATTCATACAGAATCTTTGGGATCTGGTGTGTATTTTACACTTACAGCTTATCTCAATTTAGATGCTAAATTTTGATTAGAAATACTTGGTCTGCACTTAAATTTTATTAAATTAACAAGTGAGCAGTGTCTCCCACATTGCATTATTTTATCTAAAATTAAAAATAAGAGCCCTGGCTAGGTAGTTCAGTTGGTTGGAGTGTCGTCCCAATACGTCAAGGTTGCAGGTTTGATCTCTGGTCAGGGCACATACAAGAAGCAACCAATGAATCCATAAAAAAATGAAAAAACAAATCATTTCTCTTCCTCTTTCTCTTGCTCTCTTCCTTTCTCTCTTTCTCTCTCTTCCTGTCTCTCTCTTTCTCGTCCCCATTCCCCTCTCTCTAAAAATCAATAGATTTTTTAAAAAGTTAAAAGTACCTGCAATTTTTCCAGCTTAAAATCAACACATCTCTGATATTGTTTGGAAGGTCTTATATTCTACGGACAATTGTTTGGGCCTTAATTGAAGATCTTTTTCTTCACTTCTCTGGAAACTTCTTATAAAATTCACTGTGTATTTGTCAAACATGTCTCTTTAATATTACCCCCTTATCTTAAAATTTTTTTACACAACAGGCATTATTGCTCTGCTGCAGCAAATTGCAATTGCCATTCATTGTGAAATTTGCAGCATATTTTCTTCCAATCTCTTATTCTTTTCTCCATCAAATATTCAAATAAGAAAATTACAATGTTATGTCATGTGTAAAAAAATATTTAGAACTGAGGTAGTTCACTGACACCAAGATGATCAGTGCCAGGTTATAGTACAAGAAGCAGCACATACTACAACATGCACACAGCATTATCTTACCCAGTGCAGCAGTTAAAGTGAATTGTAGTTCTAGCAAAAAAAAATAAAGTTGTGTTTAAAATTAAAAACTAATTCTTCATGTGCACTAGCCACATTCCAAGTTTTGAATAGCCACACTTGGCTAGTGGCTACCATGTTAGCATAGCTATGTAACATTATTCTTCAAACTTTGATTCACAACCAACTAAAGTAGGTTGACCACCTTTTTTTTTTTTTTTTTTTTTAAGTAGAATGGAATAAAATAGAATAGAAAACATTGTATCACTTGTAGTAATGATACATATCTTTTGTGAGAATTTTGTTTCAGTGTATATGTGTAGGTCACAAAGTAAAAATATATTTCTTACTCTGGAGTACTGTGAACAGTTTTCGAAAACCAGGTCTCTATAGCACCTAGTATATTTCTTTCCACCTAATAGGCAAAGAAAAAATATTAAATTGAATTATTGTCAGTGGCACACATTTGTATGATGACAGTTAAATTGATAGTTTTTTTTTAATGCTATTTATGCTTTTTATTATGTCAAGCCAGAGATTGAGGCTAATGGATAAGGCTAGAGAGGTAGGTTAGGGTCATCTTAAGCTATACTAATAATTTTCGACTATTCTGTGGGAAATGAGGGGTCATTGAAGGACGCATTTTAAGTTAAGGAGTTATATAAGAGAGTATTCTGATAAGTAAAAACAACTTAAAATTATCTCTCTGACCACCCTCTGTTTGCTTCTAATTACTCTAGAGTCAAGATCTTTATTCTCTGTTTAAACGTGAAAGAGTAAGATCTTTCTTCTCTATTTAAAAAACAAAACAAAACACCAAACCCTTTTTGCTAATGCCTAACATTCCTTTGTCTCTTCCCATAGTCATCTGTTCACTTGCAGGATTGCTTGCTTGTACTTTTGGGCTTGCCAGAGTTCTTAGAGCCTGCCATGCTCTATTCCCTAGCCTACCAATGTAATTTTTTCTTGTCCTTCAAAGAAGCCCTGATTACTTCATTACTTCCTGGGTTAATTGGAATAATTGCCTTTCTAGACTCTGATTACATTATCTGGGGGAAAATAATCAATGGTTATGTGCCGAAGTTTCCACCACAATTATTTATTTACTCTTCATATTATTCCCATTTCTTCATGTGCATTTAACCTGTGTAACCTAAAGTAAACATCCTCTCCCTTTATGTATTGGTTTAAATTATATTTTATCGATTGCGCTATTACAGTTGTCACAATTTTTTTTCCACTTTGCCCCCCTCCACCCAGCACCCGACATTCCCTCAGGCGATCCCCACACCTCTGGTCACATCCTTGGGTCATGAGTGTAAGTTCTTTGGCTACTCCATTTCAGTACTGTACTTTAGATCCCCCTGGCTATTCTCTAACTACCAATTTGTATTTCTTAATCACCTCACCTCTTCACCCATTCTCCTACACCCCACCTCCCATCTGGCAACCATCAAAAAGTTCTCCACATCCATGAGTCTGTCTCTTTTCTTCTTGTTTGCTTAGTTTGTTATTTAGATTCAATTGTTGATAGATATGTATTTATTGCCATTTTATTGTTCATTTTATTATTTTGACCTTCTACTTTTTCTTGAGTAAGTCTCTTTAACATTTCATATAGTAATGGTTTGGTGATGATGAACTCCCTTGTTTTCTTGTCTGGGAACCTCTTTATCTGCCCTTCGATTCTAAATGATATCTTTACTAGGTAGAGCAATCTTGGCTGTAGGTCCCTGTTTTTCATGACTTTGAATATTTCTTGCCAATCCCTTCTAACCTGCAAAGTTTCTTTTGAGAAATCAGCTGACAGTCTTATGGGAATTCCCCTGTAGATAATGAACTGCTTTTCTCTTGCTGATTTTAAGATTCTCTCTTTATCTTTAACCTTTCGCATTTTAATTATGATGTGTCTTGGAGTTCTTGGAGTGGGCCTCTTTGGATCCATCTTGTTTGGGGCTCTCTGTGCTTCCTGCACTTGCATGTCTATTTCCTTCACCAAATTAGGGAAGTTTTCTTTCATTATTATTTCAAATAGAATTCCAGTTTCTTGCTCTTCCTCTTCTGTTTCTGCCACCCCTATGATGCAAATGTTAGACTACTTGAAGTAGTCCCAGAGGCTGCTTACACTGTTCTTGTTTTTTTGTATTGTCTTTTTGTCTTCTTGTTCTGATTGGTTGTTTTTTTCTTCTGTAAGTTCCAAGTCATTGATTTGATTCTCAGTTTCATCCATTCTACTGTTGTTTCCTTATAAATTATTCTTTATTTCAATTAGTGTGTCCTTTGTTTCTGACTGGATCTTTTGTTATGCTGTTGAGGTCCTCACTCAGTTCCTTGAGTCCTCTTAACCAGTGTTTTGAACTCTGCATCTGATAGATTGCTTATCTCCATTGCTTTGAGCTCTTTTTTGGAGTTTTGATCTGTTCTTTCATTTGGGCCATGTTTCTTTGTCTGCTCATTTTGGCAGCCTCCCAGTGTTTGTTTCTATGTATTAGGTAGAGCTGCTTTGATGCCCTGTTTTGGTAGAATGGCCTAATATAGTAGGTGTCTTATAGGGTCCAGTGGCACAACCTCCCCGTCACCAAGCTGAGTACTCAAGGCGCACCTTTTGTGTGGGCTGAGTACACCCTTCTCTTGTAGTTGAGCCTTGATTCCTGTTGGCAGGTCAATGAGAGGGATTTACCCAGGCCAGTCAGCTGCAAGGACTGGCTGTGACCACTGACCACCAATATCCATCCTCTGTGAAGGATCAGCTGTTCAGGGGCAGGGTGGTGATACTCTGATGAAGTCTGTAGCTGTCCACTGGGTGCTCTCTGGGATTTCCCAGGTGTTGCAGACTATGGTCAGCCTCCACCTGAGTTTTGCCCTGGGCAACCCTGCCTGAGCTAGAAGCAATCTGAGATGGCTGCTACTTGTGCTGGGTTTGGAGATTCCCAGGTGAGCCAAACTGTGAATCTAGGCTTGTTGCCTCTATTGGCGAGCCTGGGACCACTTAGCAAGAGGTACAGGGGCTGGGTGCTCACTGAGGCTGGCATTGCTTATTTGATAGGATTTAGGGAGTAGTGAAGCATGAGCCAAGACCAGCCATTCATGTGGAAAAGCAGCTTGGGTGGGCCCCTAAATTGGTTGGGTCGTAGTCTCAGGAGATCTCCAGAGCAGGGCAAACAGTGTTAG